ATAAATGTATACATTTATACAGTACTGTTATAATTTACCTCTATTTTACACAATGTGGGGGGTTGCTAGTTGGGCTTATTTTGGGCTTGTTTTCATAGAGCTGGTTGCTTGTTTCTGTCGTGAGATCTGGCAACACTGCTCCTAATACTCAGTCCAGTCCTTTTCAGATTAAAAATATCTTTGAGGAAATGGATTTTCAGATACCAAGGAAACGACACAATGCCCCCCACCCACAACCTGGTTTTTGTATACAAAAAAGGCTATTTTTACATGAAAAAACTGCAAAACAAGTCCAAAATAACCTTTAACCTTTATGACTAAAGGACTTAATTGTTCAGACATTTAGCATGAGCGGTGGCTAACATTAGCCGCTACTGCTATCCGACTTGTGGCAATAATGATTAAACTCACTTAAAACACACAATACGTTTTCCACCAACATAAACACTAAAGTAAACAACTCACCAGTGAAATATCATTGGACCTCACGTATTTTTCCGTGTTACAACGTTGGTTGGAGAAGCTCGCGCTGCAGCAACGCTTTGCGTATAAATAAAACGGCTCTGTTCGTGTTAAAATACATTTATAAAAATTTACAAAACTAAACAGCCTACAGTATTTTTACAGTCTTTATTTTACAGTTAAAATATATGTTTATCAAATAAAATCTAATGTCACAACTAACCATGGATCCTTTAAACCTGCTGGAGTTTACGCTCCAGCATATTTCACATCTGAGTTTCAGTCGCTGAAGCAGGAAATAGAACCGCCTGAGACGGTTTAATTTATTTCGTACACATTTTAAACTATTCAGTTTTTAAATTGTCCTGAAAGGTCACGTGAAACTGGAGTTACGATAAATAATGCACCCTACATCTTTATATTTTGTGATTTTGTCATATTTGAAGCTGTTAACTGTCTCCATTTGCTCTCTGATTTTATAACACTCCTTTCACCTCCACTGAATAAAAAGCATCCCAACACAGTCCAAACTTATTTATCAACTATATAAAAATCTACAGCATAAGTAGAAAAATATGTGACAGTTAAAGCAGCTGATGACTCGTGAGGAGTCATCAGACATGAGGAGAAATGAGCTGCGGACCACCCCGAACTCCCATCAGCTGCTGTGCATTTGTTTTTGTTTTGTTTTTCATCTTACTGTATATTTTTATATACTTAATAAATAAATTTGGGCTTTACTGAGAAAAGACGTGGAGGGATGTTTTTTTAATTTGGCAGAGGTGAGGGGTAAAAACAGATTTATTCCAGCCACCGCAGCCAAAGTGACAGGAGCCTATTTAGAAATTAAAGCTTTTAGGAAAAACAGACAACTCCTGTTGTCACCTGGGACTTATAGCTGCAGGACATGAAGTTAAGAAATACTTCATGCCTAATGCAAAGTGCTGACGCAGCATTCCTTCTATTAAAATAAAAATAAATTGTCTCATCAGATGTGTTCATGTAAACGATCAACAGTCTGCAGGGAAATGACAGCAATAATTATGAGGTGGCCACGATAATTATTGCAGGGCCACGAGTGAATTTTCACGTGCCCACGACTTAATAACGGGTGGCAACGCTATGTTGTGGCCATGAGTTTTTATCTTGTGGCCACAAGATAAGTTTTTTTCTCTCCAATGTCCCCAAACGGGCTCCATAAGTTGGGCCTTTAAAGACAATGGGCCTCATGCAAGAACCGTTCGTACGCACAGATTTGTTCTTAAGTTGTGCGTACGAGTGATTTAGGAGAATTTGTGGCATTCACCAATGTGTAGGGGTCACCTCGAGTGAAGAAACAAGATTTACTGCCTCGAAGCAGGCCTCGGAC